TCACTCACACACTGATGCACTCACTCACACACTGATGCACTCACCCACTCACTCACACACTGATGCACTCACTCACTCACTGACGCACTCACTCACGGACTTACTCACACACTGATGCACTCACTCATCCACCCACTCACTCACTCACACACTGATGCACTCACTTACACACTGATACACTCACTCACACACTCACTCACCCACTCATACACTTACTCACTCACTCACCCACACACTCACCCACTCACACACTCACGCACTCACACACTCACGCACTGATGCACTCACTCACGCACTGATGCACTCACTACTCACTCACACACTGATGAACTCACACACTGATGCACTCACTCACACACTGATGCACTCACTCACTCACTGATGCACTCACTCACACACTGATGCACTCACTCACGCACTGATGCACTCACTCACACACTCACACTCACACACTCACTCACTCACCCACACACCCACACACTGATGCACTCACTCACACACTCACTCACACACTCACTCACTCACACACTCACTCACTCACACACTCACTCACTCACGCACTGATGCACTCACTCACACACTCACACACACACTCACTCACACACTCACTCACTCACACACTGATGCACTCACTCACGCACTGATGCACTCACTCACACACTCACACACACACTCACTCACACACTCACTCACTCACCCACACACCCACACACTGATGCACTCACTCACACACTCACTCACTCACACACTCACACACTCACTCACACACTCACTCACTCACACACTGATGCACTCACTCACACACTGATGCACTCACTCACGCACTGATGCACTCACACACTGATGCACTCACTCACGGACTCACTCACGCACTGATGCACTCACTCACGCACTCACTCACACACTGATGCACTCACACACTGATGAACTCACACACTGATGCACTCACTCACCGACTCACTCACCCACCCATCCACTCACGCACTCACTCACTGATGCACTCACTCACCCACTCACCCACTCACTCACTCACCCACTCACTCACTCACCCACACACCCACACACTGATGCACTCACTCACACACTCACTCACACACTCACTCACTCACACACTCACCCACCCACACACCCACACACTCACTCACTCACACACTCACTCACTCACCCACCCACACACCCACACACCCACACACTCACTCACTCACACACTCACTCACCCACCCACACACTCACTCACCCACACACCCACTCACTCACGCACTCACTCACTCACGCACTCACTCACTCACGCGGGAAGTTGCTATCGATACGGAAGGCGCCGGGGGTCTGTTGTGGACTATTATAGACAGAGAGGCACAGCGAGAGAGAAACAGAGACAGATAGAGACAGGGAGACAGAGACAGACAGAGAGACAGAGACAGACAGAGAGACAGACAGAGACAGACAGAGAGACAGACAGAGACAGAGAGACAGACAGAGACAGACAGAGAAAGACAGAGAGACAGACAGAGAGACAGGGGGGAGGTCGCAGGGCCGGGACGCGACTTGCATAACGGGGGGGGGGGGGGGGGGGGGGTGTCGGGAGGAAAGGGTCAGGGGGGGTCAGGGGGGGTCAGGGGGGGTCGTGCGTGGGGGGGGGGGGTTCAGGGGGAGGGGGGGAAAAAGTGGGTAGATAGTAGACACACAACGCAGAGACACCGTCAACAACAACAAGAACAACAACAACAGGAACAAGGTGGAGGCAAGGCTTCATCTTCAGCAAGCCCCTCCTCACTACCCCTACCACTACCCCTACCACTACCCCTACCACTATCACTACCACTACCCCTACCACTACCCCTACCACTATCACTACCCCTATCACTACCACTATCACTACCACTATCACTACCACTACCCCTACCACTACCCCTACCACTACCCCTACCACTACCCCTACCACTACCACTACACCTACCACTACCCCTACCACTACCCCTACCACTACCCCTACCACTACCACTACCCCTACCACTACCCCTACCACTACCACTACACCTACCACTACCCCTACCACTACCACTACCCCTACCACTATCCCTACCACTATCACTACCACTACTCCTACCCCTACCACTACCCCTACCACTATCCCTACCACTATCACTACCACTATCACTACCCCTACCACTATCACTACCACTACACCTACCACTACCACTACCCCTACCACTATCACTACCACTACACCTACCACTACCACTACCCCTACCACTATCACTACCACTACACCTACCCCAACCACTACCCCTACCACTACCCCTACCACTACCCCAACCACTATCACTACCCCTACCACTACCCCTTCCACTATCACTACCCCTACCACCACCCCTACCACTACCCCAACCACTACAACGGATTTGTGTTTTCGAACGCCGACGTTTGGCGTCTCGACATCGGCGTGGAGTGATCGGTGACCCCCACCCCCTGGGTAGAAAAAATAAACAAAATAGTGTCACCTGAAATAAAATATTAAAATTGCCTCCGCTATTCTGCACTAGTTGCTAGACCCCGGTATACCGCCACGAGGATCATTTATATATTTATATATTTATACTTAGAGACACGCCTAGCCAGAGCAGCTGCACCAACAGAGTTACGCCGGCTATGACAAGCTGTGATACCTCTGACTGGCACCAGCCCAGCCTGGGTGCTGGTACCAGCCCAGCCTGGGTGCTGGTACCAGCCTCGTGTGGGTGATGGCACCAGCCCAGCCTGGGTGCTGGTACCAGCCCAGCCTGGGTGTTGGTACCAGCCCAGTGTGGGTGATGGCACCAGCCCAGCCTGGGTGTTGGTACCAGCCCAGTGTGGGTGCTAGTACCAGCCCAGCCTGGGTGCTGGTACCAGCCCAGTGTGGGTGATGGCACCAGCCCAGCCTCGTGTGGGTGATGGCACCAGCCCAGCCTGGGTGTTGGTACCAGCCCAGTGTGGGTGCTGGTACCAGCCCAGTGTGGGTGCTGGTACCAGCCTCGTGTGGGTGATGGCACCAGCCCAGCCTCGTGTGGGTGATGGCACCAGCCCAGCCTGGGTGCTGGCACCAGCCCAGCCTGGGTGTTGGTACCAGCCCAGCCTGGGTGCTGGTACCAGCCCAGTGTGGGTGCTGGTACCAGCCCAGCCTGGGTGCTGGTACCAGCCCAGTGTGGGTGATGGCACCAGCCCAGTGTGGGTGTTGGTACCAGCCCAGTGTGGGTGTTGGTACCAGCCCAGCCTGGGTGTTGGCACCAGCCCAGTGTGGGTGTTGGTACCAGCCCAGTGTGGGTGTTGGTACCAGCCCAGCCTGGGTGTTGGCACCAGCCCAGTGTGGGTGTTGGCACCAGCCCAGTGTGGGTACTGGCACCAGCCCAGTGTGGGTACTGGCACCAGCCCAGTGTGGGTGTTGGTACCAGCCCAGCCTGGGTGCTGGCACCAGCCCAGCCTGGGTGCTTGGTGATGTTGGCACTGGCGCTGTGTGGGCGCGTCACGCCGGGCTTCCAGGCGCTGCTCGCCAACCCACACTTGCCCTGACGCGCGGGGCCTTTGTCTGTGTGTGTGGTGCGTGTTTGGTGCGTGTGTGGTGCGTGTGTGGTGCGTGTGTGACACGTGTGTGGTGTGTGTGTGGTGCGTGTGTGACCCGTGTGTGACGCGTGTGTGACGCGTGTGTGACGTGTGTGTGATGCGTGTGTGGCGCGTGTGTGGTGCGTGTGGGGTGCGTGTGTGACACGTGTGTGGTGCGTGTGTGGTGCGTGTTTGACGCGTGTGTGACGCGTGTGTGGTGCGTATGTGGTGCGTGTGGGGTGCGTGTGTGACGCGTGTGGGGTGCGTGTGTGGTGCGTGTGTGGTGCGTGTGTGACGCGTGTGTGACGCGTGTGGGGTGCGTGTGGGGTGCGTGTGTGACGCGTGTGTGGTGCGTGTGTGGTGCGTGTGTGGTGCGTGTGTGACGCGTGTGTGACGCGTGTGTGGTGCGTGTGTGACGCGTGTGTGGTGCGTGTGTGGTGCGTGTGTGGTGCGTGTGTGACGCGTGTGTGACGCGTGTGTGGTGCGTGTGTGACGCGTGTGTGGTGCGTGTGTGGTGCGTGTGTGGTGCGTGTGTGACGCGTGTGTGACACGTGTGTGGTGCGTGTGTGACGCGTGTGTGGTGCGTGTGTGGTGCGTGTGGGGTGCGTGTGGGGTGCGTGTGTGACGCGTGTGTGGTGCGTGTGTGGTGCGTGTGTGGTGCGTGTGTGACGCGTGTGTGACGCGTGTGGGGTGCGTGTGGGGTGCGTGTGGGGTGCGTGTGTGACGCGTGTGTGACGCGTGTGTGGTGCGTGTGGGGTGCGTGTGGGGTGCGTGTGTGACGCGTGTGTGGTGCGTGTGTGGTGCGTGTGTGGTGCGTGTGTGACGCGTGTGTGACGCGTGTGTGGTGCGTGTGTGGTGCGTGTGTGGTGCGTGTGTGACGCGTGTGTGACGCGTGTGTGGTGCGTGTGGGGTGCGTGTGGGGTGCGTGTGTGACGCGTGTGTGGTGCGTGTGTGGTGCGTGTGTGGTGCGTGTGTGACGCGTGTGTGACGCGTGTGTGGTGCGTGTGTGACGCGTGTGTGACGCGTGTGTGACGCGTGTGGGGTGCGTGTGTGGTGCGTGTGTGGTGCGTGTGTGACGCGTGTGTGACGCGTGTGTGGTGCGTGTGTGACGCGTGTGTGACGCGTGTGTGACGCGTGTGTGGTGCGTGTGTGACGCGTGTGTGACGCGTGTGTGGTGCGTGTGTGACGCGTGTGTGACGCGTGTGTGACGCGTGTGGGGTGCGTGTGTGACGCGTGTGTGAGGCGTGTGTGGTGCGTGTGTGACGCGTGTGTGACGCGTGTGTGACGCGTGTGGGGTGCGTGTGTGACGCGTGTGTGGTGCGTGTGTGGTGCGTGTGTGACGCGTGTGTGGTGCGTGTGTGGTGCGTGTGTGGTGCGTGTGTGACGCGTGTGTGGTGCGTGTGTGGTGCGTGTGTGACGCGTGTGTGACGCGTGTGTGGTGCGTGTGTGACGCGTGTGTGGTGCGTGTGGGGTGCGTGTGGGGTGCGTGTGTGGTGCGTGTGTGGTGCGTGTGGGGTGATTAAAGTGGGTAGGTCATCTCCAATGCCTGCAATAAACAACATGAAAAACAACATCAACAACACCGACACTATCAACACCAAAAACATCAACAACAGCACCACCAACAACATAAACAACAACACCAAAAATATTAACAGCACCAACAACAGCGACAACATCAACAACAAAAACAACATCAACAACATCACCAACATCAACAACAAAAACAACATCAACAACAAAAACATCAACAAAAACAACATCAACAACAAAAACAACATCAACAACATCAACAAGAAAAACAACATCAACAACATCAACAACAAAAACAACATCAACAACATCAACAACAAAAACAACAAAAACAACATCAACAACAATATCAACAACATCAACCACAAAAACAACATCAACAACATCAACAACAAAAACAACATCAAAAACATCAACAACAACATCAACACCAACAACATCAACAACAACATCATCAACAACATCAACATCAACAACATCAACAAAAACAACATCAACAAAAACAACATCAACAACATCAACAACATCAACCACAAAAACAACATCAACAACAAAAACAACATCAACAACAAAAACATCAACAACATCAACAACATCAACAAAAACAACAACATCAATAACATCAACATCAACAACATCAACATCAACAACATCAACAACAACATCAACAACATCAACCACAAAAACAACATCAACAACAAAAACAACATCAACAACAAAAACAACATCAACAACATCAACATCAAAAACAACATCAACAACATCAACAACATCATCAACAGCATCAACATCAACAGCATCAACAACAACATCAACAACAACATCAACAACATCAACAACAAAAACAACATCAACAACATCAACAACAACATCAACAACATCAACAACAACATCATCAACAACATCAACAACATCAACAACATCAACAAAAACAACATCAACAACATCAACAACAAAAACAACAAAAACAACATCAACAACATCAACAACAACATCAACAACATCAACCACAAAAACAACATCAACAACATCAACAACAAAAACAACATCAACAACAAAAACAACATCAACAACATCAACCACAAAAACAACATCAACAACAAAAACAACATCAACAACAAAAACAACATCAACATCAAAAACAACATCAACAACATCAACAACATCAACCACAAAAACAACATCAACAACAAAAACAACATCAACAACATCAACATCAAAAACAACATCAACAACATCAACAACATCAACCACAAAAACAACATCAACAACAAAAACAACATCCACAACAAAAACAACATCAACAACATCATCACCAACATTAACAACAAAAACAACAACAACATCAACAACAAAAACAACATCAACAACAAAAACAACATCAACAACATCAACAACAACAACATCAACAACAAAAACAACAAAAACAACATCAACAACATCAACAACAACATCAACAACATCATCAACATCAACATCATCAACAGCATCAACATCAACAACATCATCAACAACATCAACAACATCATCAACAACATCAACAACATCATCAACATCAACAACATCAACATCAACAACATCAACAACAACATCAACAACATCAACACCGTCACCCCGACGGAGGCCCTCCACCACCCGGCCGGGTGCGAGGGAGCGAGGGGGGAGGATGGGAGGAGGGGGGAGGAGCGAGGGGGAGGGGCGAGGGGGGGAGGAGGGGGGAGGAGCGAGGGAGGAGGGAGGAGGGGGGGAGGGGCGAGGGGGAGGAGGGGGGAGGGGCGAGGGGGTTGGGGGGAGGAGCGAGGGGGAGGGGCGAGGAGATAAACCAGGCGGCAGCGCTCGCCACGAGACAGCTCTCAGTGGGGGGGGGGGGGGGGGGGGATGGTCACGGGGGGAGGGGGGGAGGGCAAGGAGGGAGGGGGGACGAGGGAGGGGGAGGACGGGGGTTGCAGAAGGGGGGGGAGGGGGTAGGAAAGAGGGGGGACGAGGGGGGGGGACGAGGGGGGGTTGGAGAAGGGGGGGAGGGAAGGGGGACGAGGGGGGTTGGGGGGGGAGGAGGGGGGGGGGGTTGAGGTGGGATGGGGGAGGGGCCCCCACCTCGGAGTGCCGGGCCGTGCCGTTTGCCCCGTACGGCTCCCTCTTCCGCTTCTTCCTCTCCGCCATCTGGGGGAGGGGGGGGGGGGGGGCACCACAAGAGGGGGGGGGGGGGGAGCGGTGGTCCAGTGGTTAGCGCTACGCTGCGCCTTAAACCTGGCGACACGGGTTCGATTCCCGCTCACGGCCAGCACCCAGTGACGATTATCTAAACCGGTCCCGGGCCTCCCCCTAGGTCGACTCAGCCTCAAATGAGCACCTGGTGCGGTGTGTAAACATCGCCACTGGGGAGACAAAGGCGGTCGGGCGTGGTGCTGGCCACCCACCCCCCTCGTGTACCGTTACCGGCCTTCATAGGTGCTCGCTAACAGCACTTGCCCCTACAGCCTGTTAGAGGCTACACGGGGGACCTTTGTCTGTGTCTACCTTCACAGGTGCTGCTGCTACTAACAGCACTTGCCCCTAGAGTCTGTTAGAGGCTACACGGGGGACCTTTGTCTGTGTCTACCTTCACAGGTGCTGCTGCTACTCGCTACTAACAGCACTTGCCCCTACAGCCTGTTAGAGGCTACACGGGGGATCTTTGTCTGTGTCTACCTTCACAGGTGCTGCTGCTACTAACAGCACTTGCCCCTAGAGTCTGTTAGAGGCTACACGGGGGATCTTTGTCTGTGTCTACCTTCACAGGCGCTACTCGCTACTCACAGCATTTGCCCCTACAGCCTGTTAGAGGCTACACGGGGGACCTTTGTCTTTGTGTGCGCGTGCAGTCACCTGCAGCGCGTGCGTGAGGCTGGGCCGCGTGCTCCGTGCGTGCGCGTGCAGGAAGAGGTCCGGCACGGCCACCAGCGTGGCGACCACCGCGGTGGCGAGGCAGCAGGGAGCTGCCGACAGCGCCACACGCACCACGCCCACCATGTCCTGGTGACGCAGCAGAGGCCTGCACACACACACAGACACACACACACAGACACACACACACAGACACACACACACAGACACACACACAGACACACACACACAGACACACACACACAGACACACACACACAGACACACACACACAGACACACACACACACATACAGACACACACAGACACACACACACAGACACACACACACAGACACACACACACATACAGACACACACACACAGACACACACACACACAGACACACACACACAGACACACACACACAGACACACACACACAGACACACACACATACAGACACACACACAGACACACACACACAGACACACACACACAGACACACACACACAGACACACACATACAGACACACACACACAGACACACACACACAGACACACACACACAGACACACACACAGACACACACATACAGACACACACACACAGACACACACATACAGACAACACACACACACACAGACACACACACACATACAGACACACACACACAGACACACACACAGACACACACACACACACAGACACACACACAGACACACACACACATACAGACACACACAGACACACACACACACAGACACACACACATACAGACACACACACAGACACACACATACAGACACACACACAGACACACACATACAGACACACACACAGACACACACACAGACACACACACAGACAGACACACACACAGACACACACACAAAGACACACACACAGACACACACACAGACACACAGACACACACACACAGACACACAGAGACACACACAGACACACACACAGACACACACACACAGACACACACACACAGACACACACACAGACACAGACACACAAAAAACAAAGATCCCCCATATAGCCTTAACAGACTAGGGGCAAGTGCTGTTAGCGAGCAGCACCTATGAAGGCCGGAACGGTACACGAGGGGGTGGGTGGCCAGCACCACGCCCGACCGCCTTTGTCTCCCCAGTGGCGATGTTTACACACCGCACCAGGTACTCATTTGAGGCTGAGTCGACCTAGGGGAGGCCCGGGACCGGTTCAGATAATCGTCACCGGTGTTGGCCGTGAGCGGGAATCGAACCTGGGTCGCCAGGTTCATAGCGCAGCGTAGCGCTAACCGCTACACACCACACACAGACACATACACACGCACACACAGGTACACAACAACAACAACCGCCATTTGCCACTAAGTGACGGTGACGTCACCACGAAGCTTGTGCCAGGCCATGTGCACCTTGAGGCCACGTGAAGTGTCGAACGCCCGCTGGCAGGGGGTCACGGGGCAGACCCAGGTGCCACGGGTCGACTGACTGAGACGAGTGGACAATGCACCACCTGTGCCCCCTACTGTGCCAACCTGCTGTGCTTTAGCCACCCGGCGCTCCGCTCGTTGTTGTGAGCGTTGCTCCTCCGCCCTCCGTTGTTTTTGGAGGGCGACTGCCTCCAACTACCCAGCAGCGTCCTTCATGAGCCTCCTCCACAGAGGCCGATCTTGACACCGCTGGTACCAGTCATCGGCAAGTCCACTCAGCTCCACGTCCTCCCGTACCACATCACTCCATCTCTTCTCTAGCCCGTGCCGCGCCCGTTGAGCCCCCTCGATCCAGCCGAACAAAAGCTGTTTAGGCATGCGGTGGCTGGGCATGCGGGCTACATGACCCAGCCAACGCAGCCTTGCCTGCCGGAGGAGCTCACCGATGGGACTTTGTCCACATCTTTCGAGGATTTGTGAGCTCCTCACACAATCCAGCCTGGTTAAACCCAGGATGGATCGTAGGCAGGCCAGCCTTAATGTTTCTAACCGGCGAAGATGTTCCATTAGGGGGGTCCACGTTTTGCAAGCGTAGAGAAGGGAGGGAATGACCTGAAGCTTCGTGCGGAGCGACAGACCAGGTAGCTTCCACACGCGTTAATCAACTGATGGAAAGATAATGCCACTCGACTGATTCGGAGTGAGACCTGCAACTCCTCCTCTGAGCTGCAATTACCAGGTCGTCTGCATACATAACGTGGTTGAGCAATAGGGAGCCATCCCTTGACCGCACCCGGGCATCGATCAGCCTCTCATTGTATCTGTTCCAGATGGAAATTCCTCTGGTACAGCCATCGAAGGCTTCACGAACTACGTGGTCAAAATAGATGTTAAATAATGTGGGAGCCAGAGGACATCCCTGTCGCACCCCAAGGTGAACAGGGAATGGCTCCGACTCCCGGCTACGTAGTTTTACCCGGGCCCGCTCACAATCATTAAGGTCCTTAATGATCGTGAGCAGAGGGTCAGGGACTCCAAAAGCACGAAGAATAACCCACAGCTCAGGCCTACTGATGGTATCATAGGCCTTGACCAGGTCAATAAAGCAGAGATGTAGGTCTTGCTGGAATTCCCTACACCTCTGCTGTAGCAGACGGACAGAAAATATGGCATCCGTGCAGGACCGCCCTTTCCTGAAACCGCATTGGGGCTCCGCAAGCCTCTCCTCAGCGTGCCTGGCAAGGCGATGTTGAATAATCCTTGCCAGGACCTTTCCCGGTACACTGAGGAATGAGATGCCCCTGTAGTTTTTAAGGTCTGTGCGGTCCCCCTTCTGAAAGAGGGGGACCACCAGGGCATCCTTCCAATCCTGCGGAACCCGTCCAGTGATGTCACGTAGGGCAGTCTGTGCACAAACGCCACCCTCCCTCAGCATTTCGCTTGGGAGATCATCTCTGTCCAGTGCCTTTCCTAGTCTGTGTTTGATCACACTTTACCAGCACAAGCAGTAAACACCAGTTGTCCCCCAGGTGACCCCTCCAGGTGACCCCCCAGGTGACCTCCCCAGGTGACCCCTCGTGACCTCCCAGGTGACTCCCTCGTGACCCCCCCAGGTGACTCCCTCGTGACCCCCCCAGGTGACTCCCCCAGGTGACCCCCCAGGTGACCCCCCAGGTGACCCCCTCGTGACCCACCCAGGTGACTCCCCCAGGTGACTCCCTCGTGACCCCCCCAGGTGACTCCCCCAGGTGACCCCCCAGGTGACCCCCCCAGGTGACTCCCCCAGGTGACCCCTCCAGGTGACCCCTCGTGACTCCCCTGGTGACCCCCCAGGTGACCCCCACGTGACCCCCAGGTGACCCCCTCGTGACCCCCCCCAGGTGACCCCCTCGTGACCCCCACAGGTGACCCCTCGTGACCCCCCAGGTGACCCCCTCGTGACCCCCCCAGGTGACCCCCCCAGGTGACCCCTCGTGACTCCCCCAGGTGACTCCCCCAGGTGACCCCCTCGTGACCCCCCCAGGTGACCCCCTCGTGACCCCCCCAGGTGACCCCTCGTGACCCCCCAGGTGACCCCTCGTGACCCCCAGGTGACCCCCCCAGGTGACTCCTCCCACCCACCAGAGGGCAGATCCGAAGAGTGTGGAGAAGACGAGGTAGAATCCGAGCGAGCCCCACATGGCCACGTGGCTCAGCCACGTCCAGTGGTGAGTGTCCAGCGCAAGCTGCGCGGTGTGGAGGGTCGGGCGAGTCATCGTCATCACCGCTATCACCGTCATCATCGTCATCACCATCATCATCGTCATCATCACAGTCACCACAGTCACCACCATCACCACCATTACCATCGTCACCATCATCACCACCATCATCACAGTTACCATCATCACCACCATCACCACCATCGCCATCATCACAGTCACCATCACCACCATCACCATCATCACAGTCACCATCACCACCATCACCACCATCACCACCATCGCCATCGTCACAGTCACCATCACCATCATCACAGTCACCATCACCATCGTCATCGTCATCACCACCATCACCGTCATCACAGTCACCATCACCACCATCACCACCATTACCATCGACACCATCATCACCACCATCACCATCATCACAGTCACTATCACCACCATCACCACCATTACCATCGTCACCATCATCACCACCATCATCACAGTCACCATCATCACCACCATCACCACCATCGCCATCATCACAGTCACCATCACAGTCACCATCACCACCATCACCGCCATCGTCACAGTCACCATCACCATCATCACAGTCACCATCACCATCGTCATCGTCATCACCACCATCACCATCATCACAGTCACCATCACCACCATCACCACCATTACCATCGTCACCATCATCATCACCACCATCACCATCATCACCATCATCAGAGTCACCATCATCACCACCATCACCACCATCACCTTCATCACAGTCACCATCACCACCATCACCACCATTACCACCATTACCATCGTCACCATCATCACCACCATCATCACCATCATCACCACCATCACCACCATCGCCATCATCACAGTCACCATCACCACCATCACCACCATCACCACCACCACAGTCACCATCACCGCCATCACCACCATCACCATCATCACAGTCACCATCGCCACCATCACCACCATAACCATCGTCATCACCACCATCACCATCATCACAGTCACCATCATCGCCATCACCACCATCGCCATCGTCACAGTCACCATCACCATCATCACAGTCCACATCACCATCGTCATCGTCATCACCACCATCACCATCATCACAGTCACCACCATCACCACCATTACCATCGTCACCATCATCACCACCATCACCATCATCACCATCATCACAGTCACCATCACCACCATCACCACCATTACCATCGTCACCATCATCACCACCATCATCACAGTCACCATCATCACCACCATCACCACCATCGCCATCATCACAGTCACCATCACCACCATCACCACCATCGCCATCGTCAAAGTCACCATCACCATCATCACAGTCACCATCACCATCGTCATCACCACCATCACCATCATCACAGTCACCATCACCACCATCACCACCATTACCATCGTCACCATCATCACCACCATCACCATCATCACAGTCACCATCATCACCACCATCACCACCATCGCCATCATCACAGTCACCATCACCATCGTCATCGTCATCACCACCATCACCATCACCACCATCACCATCATCACAGTCACCATCACCATCATCACAGTCCACATCACCATCGTCATCGTCATCACCACCATCACCATCATCACAGTCACCACCATCACCACCATTACCATCGTCACCATCATCACCACCATCACCATCATCACCATCATCACAGTCACCATCACCACCATCACCACCATTACCATCGTCACCATCATCACCACCATCATCACAGTCACCATCATCACCACCATCACCACCATCGCCATCATCACAGTCACCATCACCACCATCACCACCATCGCCATCGTCAAAGTCACCATCACCATCATCACAGTCACCATCACCATCGTCATCACCACCATCACCATCATCACAGTCACCATCACCACCATCACCACCATTACCATCGTCACCATCATCACCACCATCACCATCATCACCATCATCACAGTCACCATCATCACCACCATCACCACCATCGCCATCATCACAGTCACCATCACCATCGTCATCGTCATCACCACCATCACCATCACCACCATCACCATCATCACAGTCACCATCACCACCATCACCACCATTACCATCGTCACCATCACCACCATCACCACCATCACCACCACCACAGTCACCATCACCGCCATCACCACCATCACCATCATCACAGTCACCATCGCCACCATCACCACCATAACCATCGTCATCACCACCATCACCATCATCACAGTCACCATCATCGCCATCACCACCATCGCCATCGTCACAGTCACCATCACCATCATCACAGTCCACATCACCATCGTCATCGTCATCACCACCATCACCATCATCACAGTCACCACCATCACCACCATTACCATCGTCACCATCATCACCACCATCACCATCATCACCATCATCACAGTCACCATCACCACCATCACCACCATTACCATCGTCACCATCATCACCACCATCATCACAGTCACCATCATCACCACCATCACCACCATCGCCATCATCACAGTCACCATCACCACCATCACCACCATCGCCATCGTCAAAGTCACCATCACCATCATCACAGTCACCATCACCATCGTCATCACCACCATCACCATCATCACAGTCACCATCACCACCATCACCACCATTACCATCGTCACCATCATCACCACCATCACCATCATCACAGTCACCATCATCACCACCATCACCACCATCGCCATCATCACAGTCACCATCACCATCGTCATCGTCATCACCACCATCACCATCACCACCATCACCATCATCACAGTCACCATCACCATCATCACAGTCCACATCACCATCGTCATCGTCATCACCACCATCACCATCATCACAGTCACCACCATCACCACCATTACCATCGTCACCATCATCACCACCATCACCATCATCACCATCATCACAGTCACCATCACCACCATCACCACCATTACCATCGTCACCATCATCACCACCATCATCACAGTCACCATCATCACCACCATCACCACCATCGCCATCATCACAGTCACCATCACCACCATCACCACCATCGCCATCGTCAAAGTCACCATCACCATCATCACAGTCACCATCACCATCGTCATCACCACCATCACCATCATCACAGTCACCATCACCACCATCACCACCATTACCATCGTCACCATCATCACCATCATCACCACCATCACCATCATCACCATCATCACAGTCACCATCATCACCACCATCACCACCATCGCCATCATCACAGTCACCATCACCATCGTCATCGTCATCACCACCATCACCATCACCACCATCACCATCATCACAGTCACCATCACCACCATCACCACCATTACCATCGTCACCATCATCACCACCATCACCATCATCACCATCATCAGAGTCACCATCATCACCACCATCACCACCATCATCACAGTCACCATCACAGTCACCATCACCACCATTACCACTATTACCATCGTCACCATCATCACCACCATCACCATCAGCACCATCATCAGAGTCACCATCATCACCACCATCACCACCATCGCCATCATCACAGTCACCATCACCACCATCACAGTCACCATCACCGCCATCACCACCATCACCATCATCACCATCATCACAGTCACCATCACCACCATCACCACCATCATCACCACCATCACCATCATCACAGTCACCATCACCACCATCACCACCATCACCATCGT